CTGGGATTGACACCTGCCCTGCGAGGGAAACCCAAGCTTTGGCATTTTTACTGAGAAATACAGCAAAAAATAGGAATAGAGAAATTTCTCCATGGGGTAAAAATTTTTGGAAGGGCAGGGGAAAAGGATCACTGCTGGTCTATTGAGATGTTCCCCTCTGAACCGCTGAGTCCGCAGGGTTTCCTATTTGTGGGGCCATTTCGCTCCCACCATTCCCCTGTGCTGAGCCCCAGCAACTGTGATAATGTTGACTAGTTATATCAGATGAAATATTAAAGGCTTATGGTATAGACTGAAATTAATATTTTAATAGAATGTAAAAGTTGAGGCAAAGATGAATCCAAACAGTAAAATTAAAATGAAACATTTTTATCTCACAAGAAGGAAAGGGCTTGGTGCTACTGCTTTGATTTGCCCTTCCATTACTTTTATATGCTATTAAAATATTAATTTTAATATTATAAATATTGCATTCAATATCTAATGCATCGTTACGCTGTTTGGGGCACACAAAAGTCAAAACAATTTGCTGGCTGTGGGTGCCATGGGGTGTGCTCAGGACCTGCAGCATCTTGATGGGGAAATATCTCAGCCTGTGTCGTGCTTCTCCGGCCCATTTCCAAGCCTTGCCCTTGGTGCAGCCACACTGGCTGCCTGGAATCCCCTCCCTGGCCTCCGTGTGCCTCAGCACAGCTTCCAGGAGGATCCATTCCATGACCTTCCCTGGCACAGAGTGAGGCTGACAGGTTGGTGGTTCCCAGGTTCCTCTTTTCTACCCTTTTTGAAAATGGGTGCAGTGTTTCCCTTTTTCCGGTCTCCAGGATTTTCCCCTGACTGCCACGACTTTTCAAATATCCTGGAGAGTGGCTTGGCAACTCCATCAGCCACCTCCCTTGGGACTCTGGGGTGCATCTCATCAGGTCCCATAGACTTAGGTATGTTCATGTTCCTCAGGGGGTCCTGAACCTGACCTGCTCTCACCATGGGGGGGACTTGGCCCCCCAGGTCCCGTCTGGGGGTCCATCCACCCAGGAGGTGTGGGAAGAGAGGTTGCCCGTGAAGACTGAGACAAAAAAAATGTTGTACCTCAGCCTCACCTGTTAGTGGTCTGCCAGCTTTTCTCATTGTGGGGGTCCATGTTCTTTGCTCTTCCTTTTCAGGCTGATGTACCTGTAGAAGCCCTTCTTCTTCTTTTTTGCCTCCCTTGCCAAGTTCAGCTCCAGTCACGCCTTGGCCTTCCCAGCCCTGTCCCTACACAACCCGGCAACGTCTCTCTGCTCTTCCCAGGGTACCTGTCCCCGCTCCCACTGCCTGTGAGCTTCCTTCCTGCCCTTAATTTGACCAGCAGGTCTCCACTCAGCCACACCGGTCTCTTGCCTTCCTTGCCTGATTTCTTACACCCGGGGAATTGAGCTTTCCTGATAATATAAAATTAATTTCTGGCAATTATGGGCTTTCTATATTTATCATAGAATCACAGAATCGTTTAGGTTGGAAAACACTTTTAAGACCATCACGTCCAACCGTTAACCCTGCACTGCCAAGGCCACCACTAAACCCTGCCCCTAAGCCCCACAACTACCCATCTTTTAAATACCTCCAGGGCTGGTGCCTCAACCCTGGGCAGCCAGTTCCAGTGCTCGACAACCCTTTCAGTGAAGACATTTTTCCTAATATCCAATCTAAACCTCCCCTGTCATTATCAGAACTATATAAGAAAAGGCAGATGATATAAATGTATTTTGGCGCTGCTTTGAAGGGGAGGGAGTTGATATATATTTTTAATCACGTTCCTGGATCAGCCACTCAACTCCCGCACAGAATTAGCTGTCGGATCGGGGTGTGAGAGCTCCAGCTGCAAACAAGGCAGCCACCATCAGAGAGAGCTGCTTGCGGGCAAGGAACCTCCCCGTCTGCATTAATCTTTATTGGAAAATAGTGGGAAAACTGGAGGCTTGGGCTGAAGCTTTCACTATCCTGGGGTATGCCCTGGGCCTTTTTTTTTTTTTTTTAATTCTTTCTGGTTTACAGGTGATTTATTGGCTTTGGAGGGTCCTTGGGGTCGCAGTGTGAAAAATAACAATGCAGGGTGTCCCCTCAAGTGTGAACCCCCAGCCCTGGGTCTTGGCTTTTTCTGTAAAGCCCCCCCCCAAGTGAGGTTGCTGCATTTGCCCATGCCACTGTGTCTGGGGGGGGGTGGGGGGGGTTGCACCCTGTGGGTCCTTCCCACCACTGGTTCATGACTTTCACAGCCCCATTCTTGTATTACCAGCAGAGCCAGAAGGGCTCAGATGTGCCCTGGGGGCATGGTCCCTGTGGATGCCTCAGTTTCCCCATGTGAAGAGAAAGGGGCGTTCCCCCCAGACCCACCACCCGGGGGGCCCTTCGCAGCTCCTCTGCACCCGCTGCTGCAGCTGGGCTCTGCCACAGCACCCCCACAGCAGCTCCCACAGGGATTAGGGCTGGATTCAGTGACCAGGGGTGTTATCCCAGGAATCAGCACCGCCCGGGGGTTCCAGGCCAGGGATTCCAGGGGAGAGGCTGGGCTGTCCCAGCACTGCGAACGCTTTCTGCTTGACCTGGCACAGGCACTTCGCTCAGGGTTTGCTCCTGCAGCCGGCATTTATCTGCACAGAGGCTGATAGTGGCTCCAAAGTGCCTCCAGCCCACAAAGTCCTTCCCTGGGCAGGGCCTCAAGGGGCTGCTGCGGCCAGGGAGGATGCGATGCCATCGTGAGTGAAGCCAGTGCCACTGGGATGAGTGGGATCTGTGCTGGGAGGTCGCTGGTGCCAGGCTGGTGTCCCCAGGCTGCCTGGGGGTGATGTGAGAAGCCAAATCCAGCCCTGTCTGGATATCCCTCAATGTTATTTGGGGTAACTCCTGGGCTTTCCAGTGTGTCGTATGTCCGAAAGAAGAGGAGGTGCTCAGGTGGGTCCCCACAAAGACAGATGGGACCCTGCACTGGTGTCACATTTTGACCTTCCCTGCCTTGGCTCCTGCTAAAATAATGATTTATCTCTGGCACCTCCCCGGTACAAGCAGCAGCCCCGCCGGCACGCTGGCTTCAGTCCTCGCTTGGGAAAGAGAGATCACAGCCGCCCACTCTTGCCCACCCCGGCCCCTCCGCCTGCCAAAGCCAGAGCCATAAATAAAATCCAACTGGGGTAAAAATACTTATTTCTGTAACAGTTGAAAAATATCCCAGCGGCGGTGCCAAGAACCTGCCAGAGGCGCCACGGGAAGCGGGAGGGATGGCACCCAAACACCGTGCTTTAAAAGCCTGCATCCATCAGCAGGAAAAGGCTCCCACGATGGGGTAGGACGTGGCACAGCCGCTGTCCCCAGTTCCTCAACCCCGAGGCCCGTTTCGGAGTGGGGAAACGGAGGCTTTGCCCCACTGCCCTCCAGGCAGGCTGGGGAGGGACAAATCATGGCCAGGCCACTGCTTCGCTCTGTCTGCTGTTTTGCCATCCCTGGGGATTCAGGCCCATGAGTCAGCCCTCCCCTCCCCAAAGCAATCGGGAGATTGGCTTATAAATCATGGGGGTTTTATGAAAACAAGCGGCAGTCGCCTGGGCGGTGGCGTGAGGCTGCTCGTTGCAGCAGCCGGCCCTTCTTCGGTCACCAAAAATGATGCTCTGGCCTTCCCACAGTGCTCCAGGTGGTGGGTTTCTGAGCAGACCCCGTCTGCCTCCTCTTCCTCACCCTGGTTCCTCTGCTATCCCTCAGTGTCATTTGCAAAGCTCCCCCCAGCAGCACCCAAAGGTGCTGGGGACGCACAGGGGCTCAGCCCCAGGTCTGTCCTCCCCCCTCGGCACTGACAAGCTGACGTTTCTTGGGGGGATCTTCAGCTTCTGTCAGTGCTCAAGGTCAATCCCATTAATTGCTGTGAATTATTTTGGCATTAATGGAGATGTCTTATGCACTTCCACTGTAAATGAGGCTGCCAGGAGCAACGTGCTGGCCAATATTTCCTGGTGAAGGGAGATGGGGAAACACACGGCAGCAGAGCGGGGAGGAAAAAGGCACCTGGGGTACTCACGGGGCTGGTGAAGTAATGGAAAACCCACCCTGGAGAAGGTGTCTAGGTGTGCGGTGTGGAGGGGACCCGGCAGCCCACGAGTGACGGGGCAAGGCGGTGATCGGTCCCCCCTCCCCAGCGGGGCACAGGGGGTCCCCAGCCACTCGTGGCCACGCGTGGGGGCTGCAGCCAGGCCCAGCCTGTGTGCACAGTGCTGCGGGGTGACGAGGTGACAAAGCCCTGCGGGGTGACAAGGCTCATCTGCCCCGGGTGGCCCCCCCAGTGGGGCTGGTGGGGGCAGAGGACGCCCCAGCCACAGTGGGAGTGGGGAAGGAGCCAGAACACCCCCTCCATCACCTCTCATCCC